GTTCATTAAGTGTGCTTGAATCAGCTTCTAAAGAGTTAATGTCATGATTCATGTTCCGTTCAGGGCATGTTCTTGTCACAGATTCTTTTTGAACCTCCTCCAAATTTATAGGAACCACTGTGCTTTTCATTTCATCAGAAACGTTATCGCCAGGAAAAATATTTTCTAAAAATTTGACGTCTCTCGCAATTTTTACATTGCCCGTCTTTGGATCGATTAGTCGGTATCCTTTTATTGTTGTGGAATAACCAACAAAGATCAAAGCTTCCGTCTTTGTATCAAGTTTTTGTATAGGTCCAACAGAAATTATTAGTATTTTAACAGATTTAATTTTGGATATGTTTTTTGCTAGTAGTTCTATTGTTTACTCTTCTGTATATTGTTTTATATTATGTATGTTATTTAAATGTAGAGATGTAGAATGTCTTAAATGTAATGGATTAAGGGACTGTATTAGGCACATTGATTGAAGTAGAAAAAGTATAATCCATCACATTTAAAATAAGTATTGTTGCTAAGTAACAGTTTGTATGTAACGTGCAACTGCAATCGGAACGAAATAAATTATATTTACTACTATATATGTAATCCACTCAATATCTCTATCAGATTACAGCCATGGCCATATTCTTGTAGTATTATATATGTAAATTGACTTGGTAGTTATTAAACATTTCGGTTGGTTCATATTCTTACGAAGAAACTAAAGGTATTTAAGGATAAGCGTAAATATTCGTATTTTATTACGTAATAAAACTAGGATATTTGTCTAGAGACATAGGCAGATTTTGCGGTTATTAAACAATGTATTCCATATCCCTATCCGAATTTACTTTACTTTTTACTGACTCTGCCAGTTATTTTTTTGTGTAGGATTTGTTTGTTTTCGCTAATCTATGTATATATTTTTCATTTATTTCAGAAATCTTCTTACACCACTTGCTTTGATCTTTAAAACTTGTTCTGACTTATTCATAAGCAAAATATATTTTATATAAGTACTTTGTGCGTTATAAGTTCTTTCTGTAAAAGATGTGATAAAATATGATGAAGAAAGTGATACTGAGATTCAAATACACCTATTCAAACGAACTTCACAATCTATAGCATAGTTTTGTAGTGTCTAAAAGCAAGTAGTAATAACAATTAATACTAAAATACTCGTTCATCAAGTAATAACTAATAATAGATTTACTTTATACATTAATATATTATGTTATTAGAAAGAAAGGCGTACCTACGAAATAGATACGAGTAGGTACGTATAAATTCCGCCAGTATAATGTATTACGATTACAAAGGCGGCAGTATCAGGTTCTAAATCAATAGATCCTCTGGCCAGTGGGTTCATTAATCATCCATTTGTAAGCAATGACCGATGTAGATCGCTTCACGCCAAGTGGGTGTCGACCCTCGACTTTTTTTCGTTATTCAGAGTAATTAACAGCTATTCGCACCAATAAGCCGTATAAAATATCGTTTATTTTTATCATAATTATTATCAAGTGAACATTTATAAAAAAGACAGTCATGTAGAAATTATATACCTACGTACTATTGTTCTACTATTTTGTTGTATAAATCCACGGATCTCAAAGTTTCCGAATAAAGTTTTATACAGTACAATAAAAAATATTTTAATTTAGTTAACTGACATTAAAATATGCAAGTTAACCAAAATTTAAATAATTTTTGAGAATTTCTCGAAACTTTCAGTTTATACTGTTTTTTTCTACTATTACATTTAATTGTACAAGCTATAAAAAATATTGTAAAAGGACATTTGATCAGCGATGATGCGTCTTAAATCGCATATAAAAATACTATTAGTTTATGATTGATGTACTTTTATTAAATGAAAAGACTTCCAATACTTCGTAATCGATAGCCGCGTGGGTTTGATGTATGTCGCTATTTGTCATACCCGAATACAAAACATCGGAGATATTTTGCTGAAATACCGTTATTTTGTTGGCAGTATTCAGTGTTGCAAATAAATGATGTTCAATATGGTTGATTTAAAAGGTACCGTACTCGTTAACCGGGGCATCGAAAGCGTGAAATTTATGATGACTTGACAACAAAGTGACGTCATCGTAACTTGTATGATTTTACCATTTTATTTCATCAGTTCTGCTATACTGTCATTATAATTGAAATATTGTTTTTACTTCTCTTATATGTTATCATCTTTAGCAATATCCTGAATATAATATTTTTCATTTCTTTCTTCACTATAATATGTATTAATCTTGATAAATCCTGTGGTGTAAACAATGCAAAATGTAAGTTTTTTTATTAACAATTAATAAAAATCTAATTACCTATATCTCTGATTAATTTCCAATTACATCAATTAGTTTAGAAACATATAGGTAAACACACAAAAAATCATTTTTTATAATATAAATTCCAGAACGAAATAGAAAAATTTGCAGTTACAACAATTGCTGTATCATAAATTGTGGACAAGGCTTTTACGTATATTTTCAATAGCTATCTAATAAATAAACTACCTGGGCAGTATATCAAAAAGTCGAGCCCCCACGGAGGCACCCTTTGTTGGCCACCGTGACTTATCACATTCTGCTTTCACTCTAAACCCATTTTCGTTATCATGAACAAGATTTACGAGGGCAGAAACTGCGAGTAGTGAATGTTTGGTACGATATTTATAAAGTAACAAAAATATTATTCGGTTTAATTGAATAATAATAAATTAGACTGTCTCGCTGATCTAGCTGTACAGCTCGCCGCTTTAACTCTAATGGTCGCGGATTCGATTCCTCGCACGGTGAAAATGAATACAAATTGTATTCATTACTATGATTGTTTGTATCGGTCTGGGTATATTATGTACATATTTACGAAAAAAACTAACTATATATATCAGCTCTCTAGTACCCATTACACAAGCTCTACTTACCATGGAACTAGGTGGCGCTGTGTTAATTGTTTTATTCACATTGCGCAATCTGGTCTCTAGCTAAGCAGAGATTGTGTTTTGGGAATTTTAGTCCAACTGAGGCAAATACCTATTTTTTTTATAACTATATAACTACATAACGTAACACCAAAACCAATACAAACAATAATTCACGAGTGTTATCTCAATTGGGGCGGTTAGAATCACTTTATTCTTGTTTTTTTATTTCTTGTGTTCGTGTGTTTACGATGCCCGTACTTTGTGTAGTATATTGAAAATCAATACACTATTTCGTTATTTGTTATTAGTGTTTCCAATACCGGGGTGTATTACTCAACAATATGTATTTTTTTATTATTAAAATAATGTATATGAAATAATAATACGAAATTGATTATAAATTAATAGAAATTTATGGATCACTTAAAATTATTGCCGTAAAAAATATTTCTCTTATGTTCCTCGATATAATTCTGATATCGTAAAATTTATTGATTACATCCGTCAAGATCGAGGTGTCAGGTTCGAGCAAGGTATAATCCCCAGTAGAACCCTGAAATATTACGTAGCTAACAATAGGATAGGAAATATTGATGAATGCGCTATTAATCATACTAAAGTTTGGTAACAGTACACGTGCGACGAAGTAGTATATACGGAAAAATATAAGGCAGTTTATATACTTGTAGCAGTATGACGAAATGTTGTCAGTTCAAATCTGATGGACTCCTCATTATGTGAAGTTATATATTATCACTGACTCTTCGGTGATGCAAACACCGATAATAAACCAAATCTTTAACAGCTGTAGATTCGTCAAGATATATTCGACGACTTCGACAATTGACAATTCATCTGACTACCCTATCAGGCGAAAAATCCTTTACACGATAAAGGATTTTTCGCCTGCTCCCAATCAATAATAAAATAAAAACAATTTTGATGCTCTTACCCTTAATTGACCTTAAGGTCACCTTTAAAATATGACTGAACGCATGTAGGAGTAAATGCTAAGGGCACTTTAAGCCCGCAGGAAGATTTAAGTGTTTGAAGGACACCTCCCACGGAAATCTAAGATATTCGCAGTGCTCTAAAATATTTACCGCAGCAATTCTGTTAAACATCCTTGGAATAACGAAACATACTATTTATAGTTTTATGTACGCTTATTTTATTATTTATTAAATAATTATATTAACTATTTACTATTAAAGAGATTATGTTAATATTATTATATATTTAAAATACTAATCTTAAAAAACAAATACTTCAATACTCCATAAGAACCATAATGGATGTGTTTAAATTACCATTGGCTTAAAAGTTTAGAAAGTACATTTCTATAATTGGAACGTAAAATGTAAAATGAACATAAATTTATTTAATATTTAAAATATATTTGTTTTTAATAGACTTCAAGATATAATTATTTAAGTATTTGTGTCCAGCGAAATTTTTCGGGTATATAACTACTATAATCAGAATTTTTATTACAGGTAAATAATATAAAATAATTATTAGAATTTTGTTCCTATAATCACCGTACAGATGACTAAGCAGCCAAGGCTTTCTTCCATCATGATTATAATCATCTCAGTTACAAGACCATCATCAGATACGGATAGTAACATGAACCTCAGCTTAAAGACCCTAAGGGCCCAAATCACCGGCAGGGCATGTAGAGCCTTGTATTACGTCGTACTCCTGTATATGCATTACATAAGCGTTTTGTAGAATGCAAGTTATATTTATATAAATATCAGTCAAGTCAGGATTATATGAGGGTGGAAATCCACGAATTGATCCAACCTGTGTACCAAATTTCATTCAAATCCATTCAGCCGTTCAGGTGTGAATAATTTACCAATATCTAAATAATCTATCACGTGTGTAATGTTAGCAGGATTACAATAATGTGAAATAGAAATTATTCCTTGAATTATACATATACATTTTGGTAAATATTATGTAACTTCGATTATTCTAACTTAGATAACTTTGAAACTTTAGATACCTCAATCCTCATAAAATTGTATGCTAACCCAACATACTAACAAGTTGCTATATTTCCCAGGTCTCACAGCGCAGTCCGAAAGTAAGCTCAAATTCAACTCAGCATGTACTTTGTAGAGTTTCAAAACTCCGATAGAAAGCATATCTACTAATGAAGAACTAGCAACTCATTACTTTAGATTCAACCATCTACTACTTCTAATGTAACATCGCAACTATTTTAGATTACACATTTATAGCTTTTGTACTACAAATACTCTTAGTTGCAATATAATTTAGCAGGGGTAAAGACGTAAACTGACTTGAAGACTTTTAAGTCTAAAGAGCTAATATTTTGTATAATACATATATACAATATATACATATGTATGTATACTGAATCTCGAAAAAAATATTAGCGATTTGACGATTTAATTATACAAGGAATTATGTATAAAATTATAACGATCTGAAAAAGCCTTCGTTCAATAAATTAAAAGAAGGTTCTTTCAAGTCCCGCGGGATAATAAGATTGCAAAGCTTATAGCATTTTTAATAACTATACCTTCTTATTCTAATACGCAATAAGTATTTGAATCACTGTTCCTTTAATTATTGCTTTATGGGATCCTTCATATTTTGCAACTGGGTGTATCGACCATATCTAGTTGTTTAATGGATTTTAGCTCCAGATATTGTTTAATTAAATAATTCTAATTTACCTTATGAAATAGAGAATGTTTTTGCTCATATGATACTACTGAGATTTCAATGAGTTGTGCGTTAACTTTAACACAACTTTAATGCAAGCTCTTCTTCACTAGTTTACTACTACACTTCTATAAATTTTCCGAAATTCCCAAATATCACTAGAAGCTTGAAAGTAGCGCATAGTTTTTAAGTGAAAACTAATTATCTTATCACAAAACTATACTTAATATTAGGCATTTTAATAAAATCCACCATAGTTATGTTCAAAGCTTTTATGTGCTGCTATTTTTAAGTAATAAATTATACTGTAATGCTATTTATTAACTAATTTATATCAATTTTATTATTATGTATAATACATTGGGTAACTACTATTACTTTATTAAATTTATTAAATCAAATGTGTTTAAAATATCTGGAGCTTTATCTGATATACTTCAAACATACACTTTGGCATGACGTATGTTTACAGTAGTTTTATACTAATACCTACAAAAATTTCATTAGTACCTATTATCATCATACTACACACAAAAATAACCTAGAAGGTAGTTCATTTAGGTTTGTTTATGCATTGTTAGTTAAAATATTAGTGCACAGTAGGTATAATAGTTCGACCTGGTTCAACCATGAGGTAAGTGGAAATATACGTAGTTATACATATTCTGAATACCAGGTAATTCTCCTTTTTATAATATTATATAAAATACAACATATTACAAATTAAGTTATAAGATAACATATTCAGAAAAGCAATAGTAATTACACAATAATCATAAATGTTTCTGAAATAATTTGTTATAGTTAGTTTATATAAAAAAATATGTGTGCACTTATAAATATGATAAATAAATGTTTAACATTATTTAAACAATTATTAATATTTTTAAAAGTGTCGTATGACGATCTCGCAATGAGTGGCAACACGCACATGACGCATACTATGTTTATGCCATAATTAGATGGTCTGTAAACTTATTTGTATTATTGTGGTATAAAAAAAAACATACATGTATCACTTCGCATCTATACCTACGTGCAAAAAAAATGAAAGTATTGGCAAAATAAAAACCGAGTTTAGCTACACTTAACACGTTTCTCATACAAAAGTTTTAACATCAATTTTACTGTTTTCATCTCCTTCAAAATTTTAACGAGACTTGCAACATGACTAACACTAGACTAGCTTTATAGTATTAAAATATTGCAAAACATACCATGTAGACTAACCTAGTTCCTACCTACTATAGAGGAAGTTCGTGTCGTAAAACGAAGAACCAACGTTCCTAAAATTATATCTTCATCGCTGCCCGGATCCCAGAAAATACAGAATATTATGTACGTAACGAACACAGAAATTAAAGTTCTAGTAATTAAAGTAAATCAATTTCATGTGAAATTCCGTCCCAGAGAAATTAAACTGAATTCAGTTTAATGAATTTGGAACATAATGTGAGAAATTCCTAAAATTTCCTTCTTTGATGACATCAGCGTTTTATGTTTTGACCAAAATGAATGAAATTTTTCGGGCACCAAATTAAATTTATGTATTAAATATACTATAAAATTATTTAAATAATCATTACTTTGAACTGTTTGCAAACGGAAGAAGAGTATACATCACGACTATATTTTCTTGTGTGTCCTGAAAACCGACTAAGTGAAAAGTCACAGTACAGAAAAAAGATATGAAATTATATTATACCAGGCCATACAACCAGATAATATATTCACGCCTTAGGGGATCATAACATAAATATATTATTCTGGCTAATAAGACACATTGATATGTGGAAGTAAATGATATGCAAAAATATAATCTCTTGTTCATTTCTTGAATATTAACACTAGGAAAGGACAAAGGCTAAAGATCGAATTTCTGCTTTAAAGGAACGAACTCTTGTACGTTTAAAGCTTCACTACCCAAGTAGTTTGTCGGAACAGTGGAAATCGTTTCTCTTTTATCTGCTATCAAATATTTTTATAATAGCGGATTTTATTCCTAAACTGAAAGTGTTACTTTTTAAATTGCTCTTACTTATATTTGATTATCAATTTATGATGTAATAGTATTTAAATAATAATTATAATGCATGTATTTTTTTTAGAGCACACTTACAAAACATTAGTTTTTCTACCCAATATTTCTGCTATAAATTGTTGTAAAAAATAAATTGTTGTTAAAACTCCGTATGTACATGAATTATGCTTCACAAAGTCGAAAAGTCAGGTTTATAAATTTAGACTACCTTACATCTTTTTCGTTATTATTAGTGAAGTAAAAACTTTAAATTAACTTTAGTTCTAAATTTAAATCATTTTTGTTACTTAATTCCGTAGTAAAATTGAATAAGATTAATATGTTCAAAGTTCCCAATAAAAGTCTAGAAGATACCTTTGGTTGCAGATCATTAGTCAACAATTATACCCAAAGTGAGTTCGTGAGATAAATGAGATAAAGTTGGGTACCGAACGTCGGCAACTACACAATGGAGAATTTAGTTAAAACTTTAAAGTTAGGACGTGTTTACATGCATTTAACAACTCCCAAGAACATTTAGCAGCACACGCGGCGCAGATAAGCTGCTTTTAAATTCCATAATTCAAAAGCACCGTACACCGTACCTTTACAAAGGGTAAAGGTGTAGAATATCGTAGTTTTAATTACGTTTGATAGAATTTATTTGATATTTATTTATAGGTAGACAGGTTAATCCTAAGTCAATACAGTAGTACAACAATATATCTCTATGATAAGAAGAGACTAGTGAATACAAGTCATAAATATATAGCAGAGAAAGTAATTTCGAAATAAAATACGATATTAAACCACCTGGCCGTGATAATAGTAACCTAAATCCTCGTGAGAAGGGATCTGTGCGCTGAAAATGCGACGATAATAAGTTGTTATGATGAACCCTTTCTAGTAATTCGGACTGAATTATTTAAAGACTTCGTGCCATTAATAAGTTATTTAACATAATAACTACGTAAGGTTCTTTAGGATAGGTGAAGATAATCGAATGCTTAAAATTAGCTAAGAAATAAGAAATGTTTGTACGTAATATACTTATCTACCTAGCTTTTTTTTCTTTATGTAATTTAAATAATAATAATAATATCTCAGGACAATTTACAGAGCGCCATCTAGTCCCAAGCTAAGCAGAGCTTGTCTTATGGGTACTAGTCGAATGATATAAATACACGGATACATTTTTTTTGTAAATAAATACATATCATACATAGAAAACACCCAGACCGATACAAACAATCATACTCATGAATACAAATGTTTGTACCCTGCGAGGAATCGAACCCACGACCATCGGATAGTAAAGCGGTGTGTGTGTGCGGTTGAAATGACAAACAATTATGGAAAGTGGTATCAATCTCTAATTACATGAACATCAACTATACTATATTACGATAACGTAATACACCCGTAATACCACTCATTCTTTACTAATCCTGAGGAATAAAATGTCAGGCCTCTTATCGTAATTTCACTGCCTAATCGAAACCGTAACATAACTTAAAAGGTGACATGGCGGCTAAAATAGGTGATACTGAGGTACCCCGCAAACGATTTTTTTCCAGCATTGCTCTATTAATTAATATTCTAGAGGTAGAAAAAATCGTGTAAAAGATCGTCTGCATCTGTGAAAACTTAGAATTTATATGCTAGAATTAGCTAAATTTCAGCAAGCAGCGTGGACAGCGTGCTCGGAATTTGCCAAAACTTTAACAAATAAATTGTATCCGGCAAAAACAAAATGGCTGTTTTCTTGGAGCATTTATCTTTAGTTACATAGCCAATTGCCAAGAAATTTATTATTTGCACATCTACATTCCTTATGCCAGCTTCCTATCGCAAGTTCGAGTCGGGTACATTTAAACTGTAAACCGTTCTTATTACTATACCTTAAAATCACACTGCATTTTATGAGAATATTTAGTTAAATTGAATCGATTCCAATTATCACGAAATTTGTGGAACCGAATTTATTTATCACGAAACAAAAGACTTACACTTAAAAAAATACAGTCTAATTGACATTCTTCTACCGAGAGTTCGATGAAAATAATAGAATAGTTTTTTCCCTTATCTTATCTATAAAGCTATAATACTCCTTGTATTAAATCCTTTTCAGCTTTCACGGTTCAATAGTTGAATGGTTTTGGAATGGCAGCCAACGTTTTAATAGTGCTGAGTAAAGAATAGTCTCACGCTCGCTCAGCTCGTGAAAATGGAGCGTGAACTAGGTGGAGCCGGTTCAGTTGGTGGCCGCTCTTTAATTTGCCTCGCTGCTGTCCAAATTGTTTATTTGGCAGTAAAAGGCGATGAAGAAATTCGAGAGAAAATATCACTTTATTCATTTAATTCGCTAAAAC